GAGTTATTAAAGAGGCTTCAGCTGGGGGCCAGTAGATGGTATGGTGGTTAAAGCACTGGACTCCAGGCGAAGCCTCTTTAATAGCCCCCTTGACCACATGGCCAACCACAGTTCAAGTCCTGGATCTGATGACTTCAAAATCACACCAGGCTCGTGTGCGTGTGTGCCCAAAATCCCAAGAGAAGAATATTGTAGTGTGGCCATCTCCCCCAGAGGGGGGGGGTCTCACTTTTTCTGTCTCTCTGTGTCTCTGGCAAGTGCATGTACTCTATAGCAAAAATCTCTCAAAAACAAGAAAGAAGTATATAATATTCAAATGTTGATGTTAAAATTCAAAAATCAGAAACAACATATTTTTTCAATACAGGACTCAAGCCTAGAAAAGAGCTTGGACTTAGATATTAATCAAAACCTCAAGATTCCTCCTGACGTCCGTGGGAGTGAGGTAAGTGGGTAAGGCTGCCTGGGTGGGATAGCCAGAAGTTGACATAGCTGGCCCAGGAAGTTCCATTCCCTCAGTTCTCGCCAAATGTTGACCTTTGGAAGACAGGCAAAGGCCACAGGAAAAGCATGATTAGAGAAGTAGGAGGAGGACAAAGATTATCTCCCTGAACAAGCTAAGCTAGAAGAGAGTTTCAGGATGGGATGGACCGTGGGGTCAGATAATACAGAACAGGGCCACATGGTGGTGCAGCAGGAAAACAATGCTCTTCAAGGCAACTCTCACATGAAGGTTCCCAGCCCAAGCTGGAGACTTCCCTGAGTGTGGTGGACACTCATTCGCCCATGATCAGAGTAAATAGCAATTTCAAGACCTTATTGGGTGTGCACGCCCGCTCTGTCTCTCCCTCTCATGGAAGAAATAAACAAACTTTGAAAATTCTACAGAGGACCAGCCTTGCACCTTTGTAGCTCAGGGAAACAGTTCCCACATGGCCAACCATGGTTCGAATCCTGGCCCCCCAGTAGCTTGAAAAGCATGCCAAGCACAGGTATGTGTGTGCCCAAGATCTCGACAGGGTGGAAAAATGGAGAAGGGATTGTGTGACCATGCCCTATTAGAGGGTGCTTTCTCCTCCTCCCTCTTTCTGTATAGTGAATACATGTGCCCTCTGGCAACTTAAAATTTTTTAACTAAAATAAAGGTTTAAAAAATTGGAGGGGGCAGCAGGGATCGTGCCCAAAGTCCCAAAAGAAGGAGAAATGGAGAAGAGGTGATAGATTGCAGCATGACCATGCCCCATGAAGGGTTCTCTCTTTTTTTAAGGATAATTTATTTTAATTTTATTTATTACTATTATTTTACTTCAACAGAGAGAGAAAGGGAAAGTGAAAAAGCAAGCTGCCAGGTTCAGGACTAGACTGTAGTTGACCATGTGGGAGTCCAGTGCCTTAACCACCATGCCACCTGCCGGCCCTGGAGGATGCTTTCTTGTGTTCTCACTATCTGGCACATGTGCACTCTGGCAGTTTTCAAAAAAAAATTCTAGGGCTGGCCCTATGGCCTGGTGATTAAGGAAGCTGTAACCACTGGATTCCCACCTGAGATCCCTTTCTGGATGGCACAGAAAGACACTCATTTCTTTTTTTTTAATTCTTTTTTTTTTCTCTCTCTATTTATGATAGAGCACATGAGAGAGAGGGGGAAGTACCCTCCACAAGGTCTGGTCATGCCATGATTCCCTTGCTCCAGCTCTTCAGTCCACTGGCTCCTGGGTGCTCGTGGGCCCTGTATGTTTCAGACTGTCAGGTCAGGGATTCAAACCAGGATCACCATGTGGGATCTAGCTTCTATTGAGCGGTAGATTAGATCTGCTCCATGTAGCTGGTCATCTGTCTCTCTCTTTTTTTAATGATAGCACATGCACACACAAGGGAGAGGGCGTATGAGAGAGGGAAATAAGTACCTTTAACAGATTCTCACCTGCCACATTTGCCTCCCCAGGTCCATCAGCTCTTCAGGATCCTGGGCACCCACATGAGCTCAGTGTGTTTCCAAGCCTACCAGGGGACCCAAACCCGTGGTCAGCCACATGGCTTCCACTTGCAGGACACTTGTGTTACCACTATTCCACAGAAGCTGAGCCAAGATGCTCTTACTTCTAAACGTTCTCCCTAGTAATCTTACCTGCTCCCATAGTTTTAAATATGTTAATTCCCAAACCAATGTGTCTAACATCAACCTTTTCCCTAAAATCCAAACCCATGTACCATATACTTGATATTTCCACCTCAAACTCTAATCAGTGTCTCAAATTTCTTTTTTATTTTTTTTGAGAGGTTTTTGCTATAGGGCATGTGCACTCGCCAGAGAAACAGAAAGCGAGAAATCATCCCCTGGCGGGGATGGTCACACCGCATTCCCTTCTCCATTCTTTTCTCGGGATCTTGGGTATGCACACACACGCGCGCCTGGCATGAGTTTAAGCCACTGGGTCCAAGACTCTAATTGTGGTCAACCACATGGGAGTCTAGTGACATAGCCATTACGCCAACTGCTGGTCCCTCAAATTTCATTATATTAAAGTACATTTGAGGAGCCACCAGGTGGTGCATCGAGGCTCTGGACTCCCACATGGGCAATCATGGTTCAAGTCCCAGACCTGGAGGCTTACTTTTTCACTTTTCCCTTTCTCTGGTCAAATTAAATAATAATAATAAGTAAAATTAAAGAATTTAATAAAATAAAGCACCTTTGATTCTCTAAAAGGAAGATAGCATATGCTCTTTTGATCAAACTTACTTGATCATAGAATCACTTTTTTCTTTCTTTTTTTCATTTTTTTTTTCTTTTTTTGCTGCAGGGCACGTGTACTCACCAGAGACAGAGAGAGAGGGAAGGTGAGAAATTGCCCTTCAGGGGGAATGGCAATGCAACAGTCTCTTTTCCTCCACTCTCCTCTTGGGATTTTAGGCACACATGCAAGTGCACTCAACATGTTTTTCAAGCTGCTAGGCCTGGGACTTGAACAGTAAGGTCAGCCATGTGAGATCCAGCCACTTTAACTACTACTTCTCCAGCTGACCCAAGAATCACTTTTTCCAAGGCTCACTTAAGAACATTTAGGAACATAAGTTTTGTGGAACACAATTTGGGAATAATTAGTCCAGGTTAGCTCCACAATTCCTGCCAGTTCTCAAAGTCTATGATTTGTGGACTTAAAAGAACAACAATAAAACAAAAATAGCATGATTTTTTTTAACTTATCGAGTGCATGTACACTTGCCAGAGAGAGACAGAGAGAAATGGCAAACAAAAATGCACCCCTCATGTGGGACTGTCGTGCCACAATCTCTTCTCCATTTCTTACACCCTTTGGAATTTTAGGCTCACACACACATGCACCTGGCATGTTTTTCAGGCTGCACATTGAATCACCAGCACATTGATCTTGGACTCTCAGCCTCCAAAACTATGAGAAAAAAATTGCTAGTGTGTGAGCTTCCCAGTCTGTGGTAGCTAATTATAGCAGTCCAAGCAGACTCAGATAGTTAAGAAAACAACCCCTGGGAGCCGGTCCTATAGCCTAGCGGTTAAGGGAATTGGATCAACATGACTGACTGCAGTTTGACTCCTGGCTCTAGTGGCTAACACACCAAGTGTGTATTTGTACATGACCCAAATCCCGACAGAATGGAGAAGGGATTGCGTGTGGCATGATCATGTCCCATTGGAGGGGTTTGTTCTCTCTCTGTGTCTGTGTCTCTCTAGTGAGAGAGACAGCCTCTTTCATTCATAGCTTCTGACAATGAATGAAAGGAAAAGAAAAGAACAAAATATAAACCCCTGAGATTTGGGTGTCATTTGTTATTGCAACATAACCTCATTTATCTTGACTAATACAACCTAAAGCCATTGTATGAACCATTTTGCGATACTGCCTCTTTACTTCCACTAAAAACTTATAATAAACATTTATGACTGAGCAATCCCTCTCTAGGTCACTGCAGTCCAAAATTAAAGAAGCCTCAAAAGAACACAAAACTAACAGTGCAAAGAAATAGCTAACACTGAGCCAGAAACCTCAGCCCTCCACTGCACATAAACTGCAGATGGGTTACTTTCTTCTTCAATTCGAAACAGAGCCTGAGGGAAGTGTGCCTCATGCTCAGGGGAGTTGGAGGAGATGAAACAGCTCAGAGCCAGGCTCTAATGAAGCAGGAAGCTCAGAAGCCCTGCCAAGTGAGTCCCAGTAGCAGAGGAGCCCAATGCAAAGATGTTCTTCTGTCCTTCCCTCCCTCTTAGATCTCTGCACATCCCTCAGAAGCCTTGTTTGCTTGTGGACCTGGAAAGGCTGATTTGGGGCCAATTCTCGAGGCCCTCTGCTAGTTTTCCATGAGCATTCTCTTTGAAGATCAATCTTCTGAACTGTTTTCTCTCCGCCCTATCCGAAGTGCCTCACTCTGTCAGCCCTTTAGAATTTTTCAAAGTGGTTTTGCTCTGATTTCCAGGGTGCCCTGACTGTTGATGACTGTAAGGCTCTTCTTCTCAGGGAAGTTTGATTTTTTTTTTTTAATCACAGACTTCTTCCCATGACACTTTTTGTCTCCACTTTCTTTTTTTTATTATTTTGGAGAGGTTTTTGCTATAGGGGGTATGCGCTCGCCAGACAGACAGAGAGAGACAGAGAGACAGAAAGCAAGAAATCACCCCCCAGGGGGGATGGCCACACCGCAATCCCTTCTCCTCCATTCTCCTCTCGGGATCTTGGGCATGCACGCATATGTGCCCGGTGTGAGTTTAAGCCTCTGGGTCTAGGACGCGAACCTCGGTCAACTACGTGGGAGTCCAGCGACATAGCCATTATGCTAACTGCTGGTCCCAACACTTTTTGTTTTTATTTTTTAAGTTTTTCATAGGGTGACTATCATTGCAATGAAGCAGGAAGCTCAGAAGCCCTGCCAAGTGAGTCCCAGTAGCAGAGGAGCCCAATGCAAAGATGTTCTTCTGTCCTTCCCTCCCTCTTAGATCTCTGCACATCCCTCAGAAGCCTTGTTTGCTTGTGGACCTGGAAAGGCTGATTTGGGGCCAATTCTCGAGGCCCTCTGCTAGTTTTCCATGAGCATTCTCTTTGAAGATCAATCTTCTGAACTGTTTTCTCTCCGCCCTATCCGAAGTGCCTCACTCTGTCAGCCCTTTAGAATTTTTCAAAGTGGTTTTGCTCTGATTTCCAGGGTGCCCTGACTGTTGATGACTGTAAGGCTCTTCTTCTCAGGGAAGTTTGATTTTTTTTTTAATCACAGACTTCTTCCCATGACACTTTTTGTCTCCACTTTCTTTTTTTTATTATTTTGGAGAGGTTTTTGCTATAGGGGGTATGCGCTCGCCAGACAGACAGAGAGAGACAGAGAGACAGAAAGCAAGAAATCACCCCCCAGGGGGGATGGCCACACCGCAATCCCTTCTCCTCCATTCTCCTCTCGGGATCTTGGGCATGCACGCATATGTGCCCGGTGTGAGTTTAAGCCTCTGGGTCTAGGACGCGAACCTCGGTCAACTACGTGGGAGTCCAGCGACATAGCCATTATGCTAACTGCTGGTCCCAACACTTTTTGTCTCTGCTTTCAACAGCAACTACCACAAGACACGAAACACTGAGAATGGTACCCGCACCATTAGACGATTGGAGAAGCAGACGGAAATCCTTCCAGTCAGTAACTATGGATCATGGGCCTACCGTATACTAGGCATGATGCAGAGTACAACAGTGAGCCCACCGTAAGATGTGGTTCTTTGCCCCGATGGAGTTTATAGTCTGGTGAGGAAAACAAACAAACAAAAAAGTAATAAAGTACGTACAATTTGAAATCCCCCCCAGGAACATCCATTCAATCACCCTGTCATCAAATTTCTATTGAGTGCCAGCTATTTGCCAGACACAGTGTAAGGCCCTGGAGACTAAGAAGTGAATAAAATGGCTATAGTGCGGGCCTCCTGCAGCTCAACATTGCACAGAGGAAGGTCACTGAACAGTAGTGGTTCCGTGTGCTCTTTCCAGGTGATGGGTGCTCCACGGTGATGTCGTAGGAGGGGCTTTCCTCTACTACCCACCCAGCAGTGGAGAGACACACCAACTTTCTGTTTGAGCTGGCCATGTAGCATGGCAGTCAGGCGCTGTGGAGAGGAAGCTAGATCCCACATGGCCAGCCAGGATTAGAATCCTGACCCCATCAGCTTGAGAAATACTCTTCAGCACACACATACACAGGATTATGATGGAGGGAGAATTGAAGGAAGGAGGATGACAGTGCGGCTTGCCCCACTGGCAGTTCTCGCTCCTTCTCCTCTCACACACAAGTACGCCTTCTGGCCTAAAGAAAAAGAAAGAACATTCTCTTTACATTGGAAACACTTTTAATTTCTTTTAGCCAACTCATATCTCTGGATATTCCCTTTTAGTTCACATTAGATTAAACAAGTCCTCATTAAAATGTGATTTAGGGGCATGTAAAGTTCATTGGGAAGATGATTACACATCAGAATGCCAAGAGCAATAACTCAATTTCTCTTTCAGATCATCTTGTTTAGGATTTTTAAAAATTCAATAAAATTAGTATTTGACACAAGATTTTAAAATATGAAGACTGGAAACTCTGTCTGAATCAAAGAACCAAAGCCCTGATTTAAGATTTTGAAAATGTTCTAACATAACATGAGGGGTTCCAGTGCAGGAAAAGTGAAGTGAACACACTCCTCCTTGTTTCCCCTCTGATTTTAGCTATGAAACTAAGCCAGAGTGGGGCCAGCAGGTGGCGTGGCGGTTAAGGGAGCTGGACTCCCATGTGTTTGACTGCAATTTGAGTCCCAGACCCGGCAGCTTGCTTTCTCATTTTCCCTCTCTCTCACTTTGTCCCTTTCTGGTCAAAAAAAAATGAATGAAGTTAAATAAAATAATTCTTTAAAAAAAAAGAAAGACTTTGAAACAGACCATTGCTTACTCCTGATTGCAGGCTGGCCATTTGGTGACATGCACAAGACAGATCTCACTGCACCAAAAAGCCTTTGAAAAGTGAACTGGCACTAGAATCACAGCCTACACAAGATGGGTGAGCATGCTCAGTCTGAGCCTAACTAGTTTGATTGCCTGCTAAAACAAAAATACCTCATCTCATCAGCCATTACATTTTCTTGAAATACTAGAAAAAAGTTCACATAACCCAAGAAATGGCAGAAAAGAGGAAATGGAAAAATAAGAAACAGAGAAAAAACAGAAAACAAATTATAAAAATGTAGACCTTAATCCAAGCATATTAATAATTATGTTGGGATGGGACCGGCAGATGGCGTAATGGCTACATTGCTGGACTCCCATGTAGTCAAATGTGGTTTGTGTCCCAGATCCGGCAGCTTAAACTCATGCTGGGCATGTGTGCGTGCGTGCCCAAGATCCCTAGAGGAGAATGGAGGAGAAGGGATTGTGGCATGGCCATCCCCCCTGGGGGGAGTGATTTCTCGCTTTCTGTCTGTCTCTGTCTTTCTGGCAAGCACATGCACCCTATAGCAAAAACCTCTCAAAAAAAAAAGAATATATATATATATATATATATATTATGCATATGTGTGTGTGTGTGTGTGTGTGTGTGTATGTTGGGGACCAGCAGATAGCATAGCAGTTATGTCACTGGACTACCATGTGGTTGACCATGGTTTGAGTCCCAGATCCAGTTGACTGGGTACATGTGCATGCATGCCCAAGATCCCAGGAGAAGAAAAGAGAAGGGTTGAGGTGTGGCGATCCCCCCCAGGGGCTGATTTCTCACTTTCTGTCTCTCTGTCTCTCCAGCAAGCACACACACCCTATAGCAAAAATCTCTCCCTCCAAAAAAAATAATAATTACGTTGAGGCCCAGTCTCTGCAGCAGTTGGTAACATATTGGTCTGTGGAGCTAGAAGCCATGTGTCAAGCTGCAGTTCAAATCCTTGCCCCAGTTGCCCTAAAAACATCAGACGCATGCACATGTGAGCAGCCTCCAGAACTGTGAGAAACATATTTCTGTTGTTTATAAGCAACTATTGGGCTGGTTCTATGGCCTAGTTGTTAAGGGAGCTGGATCCCATATGGCTGACTGTGCAGTTCAAATCCCAGCCCAGTGGCTTGAAAAATACAGTAGGTGGGACCAGCAGATGGCATAATAGTTTTGTCGCTGGACTCCCACGTAGTTGACTGCAGTTCGAGTCTTGGACCTGGCAACGTAAAACTCATGCTGGGTGTATGTGTGTGCATGCCCAAAATCCCAAGAAGAGAATGGAAGAGCAGGGATTGTGGTATGACCATGTCCCCTGAGGGGGGTGATTTCTCGCTTTCTATCTCTCTGTCTCTCTGGCAAGCGCACACAACCTATAGCAAAAATTTCTCTTAAAAAAAAGAAAAATACACTAGGCACATATGCATGTGTGCATGCATGCCTGAAATCCCAAATGATAGGGAAATGAAGGTGAAGGAATTATGGCATGACCACACCCTATGGGAGGGGCTTTTTTCCTCTCCCTCTCTGTTTCTCTGATAAATATACATGTCCTCTAGCCAAAAAAGAAAAAAAAAAAAAAAAAAAGAACCTAGTTTATTATATGAACTGCTTTGTTATAGCAGCCCACACAGACTCACAGACTAAGACGGGAGCTGTCCCATACATTGTGGAGTGTTTAGCAATGTCCCTAACCTCTACTCATTGGATGCCAGAAATACTTCTCAACTAAACCCAACCAGTTATGAGAGTGACAAATGTCCTCTGGAAAAATCACCCGTAGTTAAGAACCACTGCCCTGCAGAAATGAAAAATTAGGTTCACATAAGACTTGCATAATGTTCACAGCAACTCTACTCACAATCATCAAAAAACTGGAAACAACCCAGAAGCCCTTTGACAGATAAACTGAATGCAGTACACCCACAGAATGGAATGCTGTGCAAAAACAAAAAGAGAACAAACTAATAATACACACAAAACCGCAGACGAAACTCAGAGGTAGTGCAGAGTGAAAGAAGCCAGTGTCGAAGGTTCCACACTAAATGACTCTGTATAACATTCCCAAGAAGAATTCTCTATTAACAGTCCTGATTAGGAACAGGTCAATGGGTACCAACAAGTATCTATCTCACTGGACTCCCACATGGCCAATGGAGATGCAAGTCCCAGACCCGGTGGCTTAAAACTCATGCCAGGCACATGTGCACACGTGCCCAAAATCTCAAGAGGAGAATGAAGGAGAAGAGATTGCAGCATGGCCGTCCCCCAAGGGGGTGATTTCTCACTTTCTCTCTCTGTCTCACCAGTGAATACACACACCTTATACCAAAAATCTCTCCAAAAAAAGAACAGGTCAGTGGTTGAGGAATTAGACGAGCAAGAGTGACTACAGTAGGTAGCAAAGCATGTTTGTTTGTTTTTCAAATTATTTTTAAGTTTGTTTTAGGGCTTTTATGGTTAATTCTTATTTTTATCTGTATTAAATAACTTATTTTTCAATAAACATATGTTGCTTTTATAATAATAAAATATTTAGTTATAAATATTTAATTTATAATTGAATTACAATTTGAGAAATCTTCTGTTTAAAGCCAATAAAATCTTTCCTTTTTTTTTTGAGAGACAGATTTTTGCTATAAGGCACATGTGCTTGCCAGAGAGACAGAAAGAGAAATCATGCACACACACCTAGCATCATGAATTTCAAGCCACCAGGTCCGGGACTCGAACTGCAATCAGCCATGTGGGAGTCCAGTGATGTAACCATCATGCCACCTGCTGGTTTCCCAACAAAATCTTTCTTTCTTTTTTTTTTTTTTTGAGAGGTTTTCGCTATAGGGCGCGTGCACTCGCCAGACAGAGAGACATAGAGACAGAAAGCGAGAAATCACCCCCCAGGGGGGATGGTTACGCCGCAATCCCTTCTCCTCCATTCTCCTCTAGGGATCTTGGGCACACATGCACACGTGCCCGGCGTGAGTTTTAAGCCACCAGGTCTAGGACGCGAACCGCGGTCGACTACGTGGGAGTCCAGCAACATAGCCATTATGCTAACTGCTGGTTCCCAACAAAATCTTTCTATACACCAGGTTAATTGAAGTACAAAATGATTTAATAATGATGGCATAGGGAATAAGTTAGTATAGGATATGGATTAAGAGTGTCGTCTTTAAGTTTATTGTTTCTTCCACGAGCAAGACAGATATAAAAAACAAAAAATACACACTCAGGCAGAACCCACAATAGGGTCTTGATATTGTGATCCACCCCCAGCCTCATTTGGCCCCAGGTCAAGAGCACACAACACACACCTAGCATGTTTAGGGACGTCTCTGGATATGAACCAGGAACCCTCCCATATAGGTCAGCCTTGCAGAGTGTCATGTTTTTCCACTGCACCACCATCCAGCGCCCTATATCGCGGTCTTTGTAATCATGCAGCCTGGGCTGGCCCTGCCGTGCAGCGTTGGGTGCTGTGTGTTGAGAGCTGGATCCCATGCGGCCGACTGTAGCATGAGTTCCATGGCCAGCAGCTTAAGGGATGTGCCAGGCATGTGTGCTAATGTACCTGGAGTCCTGATGGGATGGAGAAAGGAGGAAGGGAGAATTACAGCATGATTACATCCTAATTGGGGGGGGGGGGGGGGGGTTCTCACTCCCTCTCTCTCTGTCTTGCAAATAAATAGATAAGAAACAGGCAACCCTGGTTTAAATTCCAGTTGTGTGGAACA